TTTTTAATCCAACAATTTCTGGTTATATTCAGTAAATGAGTATAGTCAATAAATGAGTATAACCAGAAGATTCCTTCCAAATGTAGACCTTAGCTCAGTAGACTGTTTTGAAAATATGTGTCTAATCACCAAAAAGCCAAGCATTTATCAGGATAATCCTTCTAAACTCATCAACTTTAATGGTATCCAGACGGCTTTTCTGGAGAGGGCTCATTAGTAGAAAAAAAAAAATCTCAAAATTTTCATGTTCAGTGATTTTACTTACACAGTCAAAAATATAATCAGAGTTCCCTGCCTTCTTGTTTAATAGCCATTTTCTGCCCATATACTGCTTTGAAAAATAGTCAAACAAATGTAAAGAAGATAAATATGGAGCGTAAACGAACTACCGCCAAAGGGGGTAGGTTGTGTGCATAAAAATGAGTAACACCAGAGCTGCAGATTAAGAAACTGAATATGTTGGTGTTAAAAATTAGAATGGCTCCCAAAAGAATTGATAATGTTCCATTTAAGAAAAGAAATGTTTTCAAATCACTCTGCTGACTAGAGAAGTCTGAATGAAAGTCAGAAATTAATAAAAGGATGCAGACGGACCCCCCCATCATAAATAACAGAGATGATTTGTATGCATATAAAAGCCTACAAGGCCTGGCGGTGTCTATAGTTCTACGGGGAAAAATCTAATGAAATGCAAGAAGAAAATGTTAAATATAGAAATGAATATGCCTAGTAGAAATGCTATTGTCCTATTTGTATCACACAATGAGTTGTTTTCTGGAAAAGTAATTCTTCAATTGAGTCCAGGCAAGCTTGTATTCATTGTAAAGTTGTATATTTAGACCTATAGACTGAAGGGTTTGCCTATCTTTAAAGTTTGATGCTACCAGGGCTCATTAGAGTACAAGGACAAAACTCTATCATATTACTGCTTCGACCCTACTCAGAACTTCTGGGTAGTTTTCAGTGGCTTCAAGTACTTAGATTGTCAGCAGTATAGGAAATAGAAAGTAGAATATTGAATGCATGAGGTGTGTACATCAAACATGTGGGAATGCATAGACAGAGAGATAAAGACCCTCTTCCAACATTCTGTTATATTGAAGTCGCTGCAGAACAATTCCAGGGTAAACGCAGATTTGTAGTCCACAGAGCTGCAATGTGCAGAATGCAAGAATTTGAGCAGTCTGAATCTCATTCAAAATCAAATGGTTCCTTTCTAGACTTCCTATTAGGAACAGGCTCTGCTACGGGTGTCAGAAATATACAAGACCATAATCGAAGTCACAAAATCTTCAAATAAAGAAGAATAGCAAGGGGGAAGTATCTAAATTTGGGCCTGTTTGGACACAGGACAGCATCATTCTACAAGTGCTCCTTCCCTATTTGGGACAACACAATATTTTGGCTGAAGTGTAGGAAAATGTGTGCCCTCTCCATATGTCTTCCCACATATTTATGCTTTGTGGGAAGCTGCTTTTAGGATGAGGGTGGATCATCTTGGGGTGAAGGTAGGAAGGAAGGTAGCCCTGTCAAAGAGGACAAGCCAATTAAGGACTACTCCCACCCAAAATAACTTACCCCTGTTTTATGGTGATTCAACTTATTTTTACATATTTATTTTTGGAATAAAAAATACCTGCATATAGGGAGAAAAGTGAAAGGTACAAGAATCAATACAGTGAAAAATTGGTCTCCCTCTAGCCCACTACCTTGGCTCCCTTCCAGTAGCTCCCCCAGAGCCCTTCCTTGCAGATTTTTCCAAGCACAAGTCCAGTCACTCAATTTCAAGAGTTAAAAAAAAAAAAATCATAAAACAGCCCTCCCCACAACACCCAGGTCTTTCCTTCCTAGCAGGTTGTTCTTCATTCAGCTCCACTGCCCAGCCTGTTTATGCATCTCAGAGTCTCTAACAGAGGACCTGCACCACCTTGATGACCCCAGTGGATTTTTTATTTAAGGGTTAGGGTTATTACTTAATGATAATGGCTTATTTTACACATTGTCGTCTGTTGATGTTTAAAAGATAAGAAGACATTTGTTAGGGCGGGTGCCTACGGCCCTCAGAGGACTCCGGGAGACCCTGCCAAAACGTTTCCAAACTGAATAGTCATTGGGCTGCCAGATAATTCAGAAACTATTTGTATGAGCTGTTTATCAAATTATTAACCGCACAGATGTTGTTTGGTTGAAGAGCAGCTGAATCCCCTCTCTGGCAGCCGTGGAGACAAAGGTCTCCAGGAATAATTGGAGATGTGCACGGAATATTAAATTAATTTACTGCTCTTAATTCTTATGCAAATTCTGACCTCTGATGGCGCCTATCAATTACCCCGCGCTCAGTGAAAGCGAAGGCGACAGTTTCTTTTCTTCTCTTTGCTTTTTTTTTTTTTTAAGAACTCGAAAAAAGGAAATATTTGCAATAAGCAGGCAGTAGGAGCACCGCGTAACTGGAATTGTTTAATTGAATCTCCTAGTTTTCTGGGACGACCGTGGAGGATAAAACCCCAGGGTACCGGGGAGAAGGCGGGAGGGGTGCAGGGGAAGGAGGAATTTGTTGGTTTGACTGAACACCTGAGGACTGCGGGAAAATGCAGCAAAGAAAAGGGACCGGTGAAGTCAAATAAACATGGGCTTACAGGCGGACTCGCGTCTTAGTGATAGCGCCAGTTTGCGTTAGCGCGGGGCTTCACGGTGGCTGGCGACACCAATTAATACTGCGCGTTTTGGCAAACCGAAAAGCTCGGGGTCCAACCTGGAAGCACCTTTGCATGGCTTTCCTCTACCATTGCCTACAAGGTCTCTATCGGAACACTGACTTCCATTTACTTTCCTTTTAAGGGTTTTAACCAGCCTTTACAACCTGGAACCAACAAAAAATGTTGTTGCTGTTCTTTGTTTGAAAAAACAAACTACTCTGCAGCTTCATGTTCAATTCTACTGAAAACCCGGGTGGGCCGAAATAAGATTTAATTGTCTCCTGCGTGGAGAAGTGACACCCACTCGTTTCCCTAAATTGAGCAAACGCCCGAGCTTTGTCTGAATTTGTGGCTTAACGCTATGCGGTTTCTACGCCCGGGTGGTGAGTTCTAAGACTGGGGTTTCCAAGTCTTTCATCATCTTTCTAATAAGGGAAACCAAATCGGGCGCATAATGTCATCAGTCCCGGCCCGACCTCGCCGGGACCTCAGCAGCCCGAGGAGGTCGCCAGCGGCCCCCAGCGCAGTCACGACGCGCCGCCTTTCAGCTCCTCGCGGTCCCCACAAAAGCCAGACAACAATATCAATTAATCATGCAGCGGGCAAACAAGGAGATTTATCCCGCGACAAACAGCCCCACCGAGAGCCGCTGAATGGGCGTTATTAGCATGTGAAAAGGCGAGCAAAACTCCGCGGTTCAACAGCTAAAGAGCAATTTGATGGGGCTGGGATGGGGAAATTACTTGATTAGCGTCCGTCCGAGAAGAGAGCGGTTACTGCCCCTCGGCCAGGAATCCGAAACGGGAACAAAACGCGCTGGTAAACTCGGCGACTTGGAGGGAGCGCGGGCGAAGGAGGGTAGCGTGGGGACCCGCTCGGCAACGTGATCGAGGGTGGGGGCAAAACAGTGGGCAAAAGGGCTGACCTGCCAGCCACCGCCGACGCTGGTGGCCGGAGCAGACAGGAGCCGCACCAACTGGCTCTCACTGCCCTAACTTAGGACTCCCAGGCCTGCACGGGGCGGACACAAGATTCCCCCACCCAGTGCTGGAGTTCGACCCTAATTTAACGCGTTGCTGGGGTTCCGGCCGCGAAGGAGGCGCGCGCGGAGGGAAAGGCCCACCCACGCAGTCCCTGGAGTCTCCTCTGGTGTCCTCAGGAGAGCAGCCCGCTGGCATAGCAGCCTCCGCCAACCCGCGGGCTCCGGACCCAAGTCAGAGTCGCTACGTTGGCGGCGCGGCCATTCAATCAGTAGCTCTGCGGTTTGGTTCGCAAGGGCAGTGAACTTTGGAGCGGAGCAGTTTTCTGGAACTTCGAATGTAACCATTCTGTTCCTGGCATCTTGGAAAAGCCGCCTGTTTGGGTTTAGTACTCGGCAAGAAAGGGTTCTTCTGTTGCACCCTCCACCAGGAGGAGATGGAGAGTTAAAAGGGAGCGCCCTCACTGCGTGCGGGCGCCGCTGGAGGCACGCAGGTGGGCGGAGTGTGGCGTTAGGTGAGGGCACCACAGCCTTAGGTTACCGAGGGAATGGAGCAGACTCCGGGGCTCTCCCTGGGCTCTGTTGGACAGTCAGTCACAGGCTGCCTTGGATTTGGACAGCAGGAGCAGATTTGGTGGGGTGGGAAATTGGGCTTCGTGGAGTTCTCCCCAGATCTAGAGTGAAGCGCCAAAGCCCGTGGCCCCGATTTTGGCTTGGGTACACTTGGGCCTTGTGGATAGGCTCTTATCTGCGGGGTAGAAGGGTGTCCTGGAGAAACGCTACAGAGAGTAGCAGCTAGGGTCCGCAAGACAAGGACTAGTGGTGAATGAAGGCATGCTGAAACCTTCTGCTCCTCATCCCCCCTCCCCTGTTGGACAGCGCCTACGTCTGCCCAGCAACCTTCGACCTTGCCCCAGAGCCAAAGCCTGTGCCTATCCAAGAAAGGGCAACTTGGTCGCTCACGGACCTTCCCTCTGGGCTCACAAAACTCCCTGCTCCCTGGCTCCTCCCAGTGCCAAAGAAGGGGAAAGTCTCCCACCTTGTCCCCAAACGCCTAGACTAACAAGCTCCTGTTCTCTAGACCCGGTAAAAGGGTGCTTCCAGCTCTTGCCCCCAAATAGGGGTACACCGGTGAGGCTCCAGCATCTGGCCTTCAATTTGCTTAGGAGAGGGAGTTTCTTACAAGGCCTTCCTGAAGTGCATTAACACAAATATAATAAAGACTTAACGGAAACGGGAGGGAGGGGAATAGGGCGGGGGTACTTCAACGACAGATTTGGCGGTCGTAAATACACCCCGCCCCTTGTCACAAAAGAACCAAGAACCAAGGCTTCAAATCTTATTTTGCGAATTAAAAAATAAGCGGGGAGTGTATCGCCCCCATCCAACTGAACAATTGTCACTCAGTTGAACAGTGTCAATTAAACCACAGTAAGTGGTCGACTTCAAAAGGCTTAATTCTGTCTGAAATGTCTCTGGTGGCGGGTGTGCAGCAAACTGCAGCTCGCTGCTCTCCTTCTTTTCTTTCTTTCTCGACTTGGCGCTAATACCGGAATGCTGCTCCCTCCTCCTTCTGCCCCCTTGGTCCGACCCTTGGAGCCCCGGCTCTCGGCTTGGCGCCAGTTGTGAGAGCAAAAATGGGCGCCACGCCTTGGCAGACTTTGAGGGCGCACCAGTAAGCAGGGCGCGTCGACTGGACCCGCTCGGTTCTGTGGCCGCCGGACACTCTGCGCTAAGAACCGGAGACCCTTGAACTCGGCGCACGCCGGGGCCGCAGCTCCCCAAATCCGCAGCGGTCTCCGAATATGCGAATCCTGCAGGCAATTTAAAAAAGAAAAAAAAAAGAGAGAGAAATTTGTGTCTCTTGCTCATCTTTCTTTGCTCTGCGACTTGTGGCTCGAAGCGCTTCCTCCGGGTGGCTGGAATTGTACGTTTTAATGCCAAAGCCAAGTGGTTGAACCATCCAAAGTTGACGGGTGGAGGGGGCGGTGGCAGGGTAGCTGGATGCCTTTGCCTGAGGGGTGGCAGAGCTATTCTCATCAATAGCAAGGACTCTGTAGTGACTTTGTAGTTATTTTTACAAGTTCTTCCCGGTGCCCATCGTATTGCCCTGAAAAGCAAAAGAGGCCGCTGCAATTTATTCCAATGGGCGGTTTTTAAGAAGCTGGCAATTTGAACCGGCTGGGTGTTATTTAGTGCAATATGAAATCAAATGATCCTATTTCTCAAATAACAGTGTCTGTGAGGAGAAGTGAATCCTCTGAAAGGGTAATTGTCTGCTGATGGTGTTTCCCATTATACCCGATCTTGGCCTAAATGGTGTTCGGCAGCAGGGCGGAGAGTGAAGGGTGAAATCAATGCGCGCCAACTCGCGCACCTCTCTCGTCCTGGCAACGTCGAACAATGCCATCCAATGCACCACTGATTTCGATATCATTTTACAGGTGTCCGAAATCATTAGAAGTGAATGCTAATGTGAATGACAAAATAAAACTCACTCTTCCTCCTTTATCAACTTTGGGAATCGTTAGTGTCCTAGTCTTGATTAATCAGCAGATTATCGGTAATCTGGGAAATAAAAACCCTATTTTGGTGCCCCACATCTCCCCTACCCTCCACCCACATGTTTATTGAGAACTCGGAATTCTTGCAAGTGCATACTTAACGTCTACGACCTTCTTGGTCGGATTTCTAGAACCCAAATTTAATTTCTGGGAAAGGTACTGTGTCTGCCAGAGACACGTTATTTATTCTAAGGTGTGTGGGATCTTTGGGAGAAAAAGATTGGCCCTGGAATTTTAAAGTTGCCCGACACGGGTCCCGCAATGTTTTTGGTAACCAGATGTGGAGATCAGCTTGTGTCTGGAAGCACGGACAAGGAGTAAATTGAAGGAATTACTTTAATAACAGGGACAAAAGTGGCACCCTGGAACCTGCTGTCGACCTTGGGGAGTGTGAGTACCCTAGGTCGAACGCCAGCAGCGGGCACACAGGAAATACCCCCAGGCGCCTCTCCTTAAAATTATTTTTGGCTACAGAGGCCATTGCTTGCAAAAGCCTTACGGGTAAACCCTCTTTTATTATTACTAACGTACCTTGAGGGGAGTGGTCTCTTTGGATTCTGTTGGCCCAGGCAATGCGGTAGGAGTGGTGGCCTAAAAGAAAGGCACATCCAAGTTTAAAATCACCCGGTCCAGGAACGCAGCACGACTTCCGGGGCATCTTCCCCTCTGGTCCCCTTTCAGATTTTACCCCTTCCCCAGAGTTTTGTGTGTACCAAATATCCTGAAATTATAGTCACAGCCTACAGCCTGGATTTGCTAATTTGGAGCATTTCAACTGAGCCTCTTAAAATCAATGTGTGGTTTGTTTCTGCTCTAGGTCGGCAAGTTTATCCAGTTCTTTTCGGGTGTTTTGGGAGGTAGGTGTGTGTGTGTGTGTGTGTGTGTGTGTTTCTCCATACTATGACCTCTATTTACAAGCCCATTCGGTTGTTCATGATTTTCCTCCTTCCTTGGTGCTATTTTCAAATATTTGAAGAAACTGACAAAGAAATGGTCATTCCTGCATATCCAAGGAGCTGGTCCTAGGAAGTTGCCATCCCTTTCTCAGAAGAAGATTTGGCTATCGCAGCTGGAGCTAAAGGCCCAGGACTTCAGGAGCGCTGTTCCTGACATTTTCTCGGGCCTCTGGCCCTGATTTCAGTCCACGGGCATCTCCTTCTGGATACCATATCCCGTCTGAAAATCCAACCAGGGGACGGCCTGGACTCTGGTTACTCTGGGGCCCTGGTGATGGATCTTTAATTTTCACTCTCTAGCTCTGAGTCTGGAGAAATCCCCGGGGGTCCAGTTTGCTAGGGTCTTCCGGGGACCCTCCTGCTGGGGGGCCTACCTTCTCCGACTGGAGGTTAAGCCCTAAAATCTTTCCTGGGTTCCGCAGTGGCCTCTCAGGTGCCGCTCTGAGGCTGCGGTGCCCAGCGAACAGCCAGCCGGCGCTGTACACAGCCACCTACCTCGTTCGAGGTGAAACTACGAACGAGGTACTTTTACCTGGAGCGGTTCTGCATTCACACTTTTTCCCAGGGGAAGGAGTGGCCACGCCCGAGTCTCTACTCGTTCTCTACTCCCCGTTCGGGAGGAAAGAGCGACGACCAGGAGTCCCTCCAGTACATCAGTTATACGCCTCTGCCCCAATGAGTTGAGCTAGAAACTACGAAACCTGCATCTAGTGTAATCTTTCCTCTTCTGCGTAGCTTCGGGCTCTTGTGCTGCTTAATACGCCCCAGTTTTCCCCCACAACGTACCGGAACCCAGGATGGAGTGAACCCCGCGTGCCACTAGATAGGGTTGGGGGTCCGTGGACTGCGGAATATACGCGGCTTCGAGTGACCCAATCTGACCACCACCTGGGCCCTGTTTGCAAGAGAACCCTCTCTTAGTTGAAGGTGCGCAGGGAGGTGGAGACCCGGAAAAGACCCAGTTGGGCCAAGCCACACGCCCCCTCTTCCCGGGGATCTCGGAGTCCCTGAAATTCTTCAAGCCTATGTGGTGGAGCGAAGTGGAATTTAAAAATCGGCTCTCACCCTGTCTGGGGCCATTTTCCAGCCCCTTCGTCTCCCTTCGCTTTGGGAAGAGTCAGCGGCTCACCCTGCTCTATGGCTCAAACCCAAGCTGTCCGGTGTCTTACCCCTCCCCTTGGCCATTCCGGCTTCCCCCATCTCCCACTCCATGCACCCTCTCCTCCCCAGACCCACTGACCTTGGGAAGGCGCAGACTCGCGGTTGCCTAGCCTAGCCAGGCACTGTGCAAAGGAAGAGCGCGTCTCTCTGCGCAGCCCAGACCCGCTGGCTGGTCGGCTTCCGCCCGGGCGGTCGAGATAGTGCAGAGCTCCCCTCCCCCACACCTTATAATTTAATCACATGCGATATTAAATTATCAAGCCGCTCATTAATCATCCGCTAGTTATTGGGATTGAACACGCAGCCGTGTGTTTTGACAGCCCAGAATTGTTCATGGGACTCGGGGTGTGTCTGGGTTTGGGGGATGGGGGACTCGCTAACCACTCTTGAGAATCACTTTGAGGCCCAGGCAGGCTGATGGGGGCTCTTACCCGGAAAAAGATTTGGAGAAGCACTGGCTGGGCTTCAGAGTTTGGTGGAGGGTTTGACAAAAGCCCAAACGCATCCCTCCAGGGCCCCTTTCCTTAATATTTGGATTTTGATCACGATGATTAAGACAGCCGGTGGTGTATAATCAACATCTTAATTTGCAGTTTTTCAGAAGGATGAATTTGACCCGAATCTGCGCATCTTTATTACCCATTGTGGATGGTGTGAAGTTAATGCGTTTGAAATACAGATGGAGCCAAATCACTGAAGTCATTTCGAAGGATAACTTTTCCCTAATTCAAATGGGGCTGTCTTTCGAATACTACAAATGCGAACAAAGGAAAATAAAGAACTTTTTTCAATTAAATGCTTAGTTTGGGTTTTTTATTTTATAATTGATGAGTTTTCCTCTAAAGTCTTTAGAAGCTGGCTTTATTTTCTATGATTTCCCTCCCTTTCCCTGTTTCCATTAGATTGACCTTTTTCAGTGAATATACTAATTAAAATTAAGTTATGTTTTTATTCCACAAAATACAAAAAGTAAGTGCTCATAAAAAGCTGTCTTCATGGTAAAAAGAAGGGTTATTAGCTCTCAGTATTCAGACAATAACATACCAGCAGAACAATAAGCAAAAAGGAAAGCATTCCCCACCTCTCTTGAAGGGGTAGTGTAGCTATGAATCTGTTAACCAACATATTTTTTTAAATATTTAATTTGAAGTTGATCTCTAGAAGAAATGTAATCTCCATGTTGAGTCTCTTCCCACCTTAGCATAAGACTAAACTGGATGTACCAGAAGGCCAATTTCCCTAGGAAAGGGCCACAAATTTAGCTAAGTTAGTAAGCAAAGTTTCTGAACAAATCCTAGATCCAATCAAATTGTTTTCCCTTTTTAAAATATAAAATAAAAACAGATATCAACCCAAATCAGGTTCAAAATCCTTAGCCATTAAATTGCATTTAATTTTCCTACCAGAAACTGTGATCAATTTAGTAAACAAATAAATACATAAATCCTGACCCCATGGTTATGTTTTATCATAGAATATCATCAATAATATTAAATGTATCCCAGTGTATTCATGAGATGTTTTCTCTCCTATTAGTCTGTTGTCTGCATTTTTCTACCCTGTTCACTAACACACAAAGAGATAGGTATCAAAACTCAACACACACACTGACACACACATACAAATACGGACACACAGAGCTAGGTAAAATTCATAAATCCTACAAAGCTAGTGGAGGGTGCGGGGGAGGAAGCCATAATATGGTGTGATATTTTTTCATAAGCCAATGAAAAAAATATCTTGTCCACCTTTATCTAGGCAATTCATGCCTACGTATGTTGTAGAGTGACAGAAATATTTGTTATCAGGGACTGAGAGATCACTTTCCATCTTAGGATCTCTTTCTAGTTAAAGTGGGCCATTCGCATCTGCCTACTTAAAAAAAAAGTATTTGAACACTTTGTCTTAAAACTTGGGACTTTGAACACAATCTGAATTATCCAGACAGCATGATTTGCAGAATTTTAATTGTCTGATTCGGAAATGTAGAATAAGGGTCATGACTGGATAAGAAACTTTCAAAAATTTTTTTTCAAAAATAAAGTTTTTGTTGACTAGAGTCACTGAAATGAGAAAAATCAATTCTTTCCATTAATTTGCCTTTTACATATATCGTTCCATTTCACTCTTGCTGGATTGGTAGAGATATGAATGGGGGATGAGAATTTAATTTCTCCTCCTAAGTCTCAGGGAATTTATGGCACTTGTTTACAACTCACAGCCAGAGCAAGAACTTAAATTTCTTTACTCCTAATCCAGTGCTCCTTCCAAACAACACTGCTTAAAATAGCTAACATATGAACTTTGGAATAGTTTTCTTTTGTAAACCCTTCCCCATCAATTGAGCTGAACACTTTGTTTTTTCTGGACCTCTTTCAGAATATAACAAATGTAAAAAGTAAGTTTTCTTTTCCTTCCTTCCTTCCTTTCTTCATTCTTCCCTCCCTCCCTCCCTCCCTTCCTTCTTTCTTTCTTTTCTTTCTGATGCTGGGAACAAAACCTAGGTCATTCATTCTAGGCAACTGAGCTACACTCCCAGTCTCAGGGAAAAATACTTTTGACTGGGAGGTCATCTCATCTTAGTCCCAAGTCTCAGGTTTATGACCTTGGAGAGGTCACTCACCAACTTGAACTGGGTTCTCTCAGAAGACAGCCCTGAGCCTAAGATTTGAACGTAAGTAGATGTTTTTAGACTCCATCTCAGGAAGTAGGGGAAGTAGAGGAAAAAAACTAGGAAGGGAAACAGCAATACACAAGTTACCATTTTCTGCACTGGAACTTAATTCTACTAGAGGAACTCTGGGAGGCAGTGTAGACACCTGGCTTGAGGGATAAGAAATAGTAGTATCCATCTCTTATCAGTCATTGGTTGAACAATACTGCAGGTAGGTGTTAATTTATTCTGCCTCACACTGGCACCACAGGAGGCAGAGCCAACTCTGGCTAAAGAAAGCCCTTAAGCAAAGAGCTGCAGGTACTGGATAGAAAACCAATGTGCATGGAAATTGCAAGAGCCATTGTATTTTCCCAAGATAGCCATATCTTTATCTCCCAGCCCATATGGTCTGCAATGTAGCCTTGCCATTCTCCTTGAGAAGTAGATGCTGTGACTAAAGGACCCACCCAGAACAACTGTAGAGGGAAAGTGTATTTGAGGGCTCATGGTTTCAGAGGTCTCAGGCCACAGAAGACCGGCTCTGTTCCTCAGGGCTTGAAGTGGGGCAGAAAGTCGTGGTGGAAGAGTGTGACAGAGGGAAGCAGCTCACGTGATGATCAGAAAGCAGAGTGAGGAGTCTCTACTTGCCAGATACCAATATATATCCCAAAGCTATGTCCTAATTCCCGCCTCCTCCAGCCACACCCTACCATTTCAGTTACATTCAGTTAATCCTTATCAGGGGATTAATTCTAAATTAATTGAATTAATTAATTACACTAATTAGGTTAAGACTCTCACAACCCAATCATTTTTCCTTTGAATCTTCTTGCATTGTCTCACATGTGAGCTTTTGGGGACATCCACACCCAAACCATAATGAAGAGTGGGTGGAGTGATTGCTTCCACCAATAGAACACAGTGGAAATGTGTGGTATAAGTTCTAGGTGTAGGCATTTACTGGCTTTGTAGCCTCCATTTCCTGTTTCTTGAATGCTGGCTCTTTAGACATACCCTATGGAAACACCCTTTCAGAACCTAGCCAATGGAGGGGGATCCTATAGGCAGGCATGCAGTGCATAGCCCCAGTGAGCTCCCAGAAAACAGCCAGCAGCAGTCAGCAGCTTTTGGAGTGAGTCATCTTGCACTGTTCAGCCCACTTGAGCCTTTGGAATACTGCAATTCAGCCTACATCTGACTAACCACATAAGAGCCACAGCAATATTTGGTTTTGTGTGTCAATTTGATTAAGCCATAGCCCCCAGGCATTTAATCAAATACAAATCTAGGTGTTGCTGTGAAGGTATTTTATAGATGTAGTTAACATCTAAAATCAATTGATTTTTTACCACCCTGGGGATTGAATGCAGGGGTGCTCTACCACTAAGCTACATCTCCATCTTTTTTTTAAAAAATATTCTTTTAGTTGTAGATGGACACTATAACTTTATTTATTTATTTTTATGTGGTGCTGAGGAGTGAACCCAGTGCCTTATACCTACAAGGTAGCACTCCACCACTGAGCTACAACCCCAGCCCCCACCATCTCCACTCTTTTTATTTTGAGACAGGGTCTCACTAAGTTGCCTAGGCTAACTCTGAACTTGTGATCCTCCTGCCTCAGCCTCCTGAGTTGCTGGGATTTAAAATCAGTTGACTTTAAAATAAAGGACGCTATCCTTGATAAATGTGGGTGGGCAATATGGAATTAGTTGAAAGCCTTAAGAGGAGAAAATGGGTTTCCTGGAGAAGAAATTCTGCCTCAACTGCAGCATGGACTCCTGCCTGAGTTTTCAGCCTGCCATACAGATTTCAGATTTGTCAAACCCTACAATCATGTGAGTCAATTACTCTACACATGCACCCATGTAAACACACACACACACATACACACACACACAATCATTCCTTGGTAGGGATTGGTTCCCAGATCTTCCAAGGATACCAAAATTTGCACACACTCAAATCCCTTTTATACGATGGCATAATACTTACATATAAATAATGCACATCCTCCCATAAACTTTTCTATTTTGCACTAGAGATGGAACTGAGGGCTCTGCTTGTCCAGCTCCCCTCCCATATTCTTTAAATCATTTCTAGATGACTTAGAATACCTAAAAAATGGAAAAGATCTACAAATAGTTTTTATACTATGTTGTCTAGGGAATAATGACAAGAAAAAAAATCTGTATATGTCCTGTAGAGTTGCAACCTTTGTAGACCTAACTATATACTATATGTCAGCAACAAGGTCACATTTTCCCCTCTATTTTTAATCCCCAATTGGTTAAATCCATGGATGAAATTTGAAACTCAGGAAATCAGGATTATGTTTGTGTATGTATGCATATGTATTTGTGTGTGTGTGTGTATTCTGTTTCCCTGGAGAACTTGATAAAGGCCCCAAGCAAGAAACAGCAGAACCCAGTAAACCCACAAAACCATAAAAAGTAATCTAAAATATTGCTTATCATACAGCAATAGATAAAACAGGAGGTGACTGTGTCTACTGTATTCTGCCTCAGTTTCACCATCTTTATAGTGAGTATCTTGTTCTAGACTGACCTATTAGATCTTTTCAAACAATGAACAGTTGTTGTGTGGATGATCATGGGTTAACTTTGATTTCTCTGTCTTCTATGGGACCTTGTACAAGAGAATAAACTCTCCAAGTCTGAGGGTAAAAGCGCTTACTTTGTGCTATCATTAGGATTGATGGGATCCTGAATGTTAAAGGCCCATCTGGGAGCTGAATCTGGAACTGAATCACAGCGCTCACTCAGTACACATCAGTGTCTTTTGACTCATATTTTACGCTCTCTGCAAAACCCTTTTTTGTGTCCCCAAGTGCTAACTACTAGTACCTTTAAGCCCCAGTGCTCAAAAAGTCCATACTTATTGATCCATCATAAAGTGTTCCACTAAGGAGATAAAGGCTATATCCATAGCTAATGTATATTGTGTTTTTAAACAGCAGATTCTGTCAGAGTCCATTTTCCCTTGACCCTTCCTGGAGGTTTCATTCATCGTTTCTGTGCAGTCAAGGGCATCCTGCATTCTTTGCTTGAGAATATTCTTTGGGGCTAGGACTGCTTGACAGAATACATGGAAAATTGGAAATACTAGGAAGTAGCCTTAGTCCACTCAGTCTGCTATAACAAAATATCTCAGAATGGGTACTATGGCAACAACAGAAATATCACTCAGAGTTCTAGAGACTTGGAAGTATAAATCAAGGTGTCAGCAGATTCAGTAGCTGGTGAGGGCTCCCCACTTTACAGATGGTGCCTTCTTGCTGGGTCTTCATGTGGCAGAAGGGCAAAAGGGACAAATGGTCTACCTCAGGTCTCTTTTGTAAGGCACTAACTCCATTCACAAAAGCTCTACTATCACACCTAGTTACTTCCCAAATGCCACATCTTTCAATGCCAACACACTGAGTGCTAGATTTTAACATGTGAATTTGGGAGGGCCTCAAACAACTGTAGTTGGAGTTAACACCTCAGGAGGAACCCAGCATTGACGGGTGATGGGAGTGGGTTGATTAAAAAGCCTACTTTCTCGTAATCAATAGGATTCTTTTCCATTCTATATGGTTCCTCAGAGGTCCCCAGTTGAACTGAACCATAGCTGCCCATAGTGGTAATCTGCTCATTCAGGCCCCTGATATCTGCTCCTGTTTATAGGAGTGCCAATTATAGACCAGTGGGCATTATGCTGCCATTGTTTCAAGTGTATTATTACTCATCTGGTAAGACTAAAGAATATAGTCTATAGTCAGAAGACCTGATTTCTTTTTAGTTTACCTTTGTTAATATGCACTAGTTTGATCATTTGTCAAATGAGCTGTCTTGGTTTCAAATCTCAAAAGCAGATCTAACACAAGATTTTTGAATACAATTAGTTCATTTAGGAGGCGATCCCAGGAAGTGATTAAGAGAGAGAGGGCATGAGATGGGAAGAAAGCCAGATATCAGGCATCTAAATGAGCAGGTTACTACTGTGGGCAGCTGTGGCTAATTTCAACTGAGGACCTCTAAGGGACCATGTAGAATGGAACAGCAGCATCTTGATTAAGTAGTAGGCTTTTAAATCTACCCACTCATCAATGCTGGGCATCTCATTGGCAATATATTATATAAAAAATATATGTGTGTGTTGCTGGTGGTGGTGGGGTAGACCCCAGAATCTTGTGCATACTGGGCAATCACTTTATCATTAAGCAACAACACAATTCATTTACATTTTAAAATTATATAATAACTAGATATTGAAATGTGTATACAAACATACACACATGTATATGCACACAGACATAATACAGCCATGTGCTTAGAGTAACTTAGGAAGGCCACATAAAAGAAGTAGTAAGCCAGGCAATCCCAGTGACTTGGGAGGCTGAGGCAGGAGGATAACAAGTTCAAACCAGCCTCAGCAACTTAGTGAGGCCATAAGCAACTTAGCAAGACCCTGTCTCAAAACAAAAAGGGCTGGGGATATGGCTCAGTGGTTAAGTGCTCCTGGTCCAATCCCTGTCACCAGGGGGGCGGGAAAAGGAAAATAAGAAAGCAGAAAAGAGGGGCTTGAAATGTAGCTCAGTGCTTGCTTAGCATGCTTAAGGCCCAGTACACACACACACAATGGGAAAAATACTGAAGGGCCGATAATAAGGATTAAAAAAAGGGACATTTTTCATGGTGTTTTCCTACTCACAACTGAATTTTGTACGTTTGGCTTCAAAAATAATAATGGAAACATATATGTGAGTTTTTGGAAGCTGCCACCACAGAGAGAAGCTAAACCATGAAATGATACAGACTATATGGAAAAGCAGGTCAAGGCCTCTGAACATGTACCCTACCAAAATCCCAAAGGGATATTCTTCTTGCCTCTTGACAAAGCAATACTTGCTTGTGCTGCTTGAAGGCAAATTCTACCCAGTGTGATTCCAACAGCATCACACAGTTCACTCTTTAAACCTCTCAATAACCTTGAGTGGAAGAGTACTATTACTGATCTACAGGTGAAGAATTTGAGGTATAACTAGGGTCACACAGCTTGTAAGAGGAGGTAGTAGTATACCACATCACTGAGGCACCTCAGTCAAAATTCTCAACCTCTGAATTCAAGCACTTCTCAAGGACATAATGGTTAAGCATTCCTTTGAGTGGGGAGGGTGTTCTGTGTAGCTTCACCACTGAGATGCCCATGAATGAATGAAGCCAACATTTCTACAAAGACCCATGGATAATTGTAGACAATGAGAAGTAGAACATTCTACACCCAGTGCCTTGACACCTTATAAACATAAACATATTGCTAACGAATGAAATGGCATTTATTATGCAAAATTCCTTGGTTTTAACTTGCTTGTGAGTGAATCATAAGAGAAGGTCTAGAGCATCCCTTTGTTTCAAACCTTTATAGTTAGAAGTACTTGTTGAACCCTGATGAGAAGTTCATCCAAGTGGCAATTATGAAATCTATCAAATGATTTCTGAGGAGAATCTTGGCATTGAAAAGATTGCTGATATGTGAGATCAGCACCTATAGTCTGCCACTCATGCACCCAGGGATGCAGGGTTGCAGAGCTGTCCCTGTTTGGCACATCAAGGTCCACTCCTGCAGGGAGAAAAGGGTATGAGGATTTGGAGCTTTAAGTCTAGTCGAAAAGGCTGATTCCTTTTTGTCTACAAAGGGATAATCCTGGAAACCTCATGAAGCACAAATTCAAGGACTTCAGTAGAATCATAGGTATACAAATGTTGTAAGACAGAATGAGCCTATTTCATTTAACCAGTATTTATAGTTAGAACAAGCATTAAACTATAACATTTTTCTACTACTACTCTATTATTCTGCATTTGATTTGTTATTTGGCTTTCATATAGTTCATATATTTTTAGAAACCCATTTATTAGCTGCTAGTTTATATGATTTGAAATAAAATGAGGAAATCTATTGTTTTTATTTTATTATTATTATTAGTGTTGGGGAAAGGAGTCAGGGACTCATGCATGAGTTTTCATTTTATTTATTGGAATGTGAACTTACTTCTTATTCTCTTAAATTAGCTATTACAAATGTCATTAAATCAAATGCTCTCAGTAATCATGCCTTCCTGTATAAGTCAGGGTTTATCAGAGAAAAAGAACCAAAAGGAAATATGTGTGTGTGTGTGCGCACACACACACACACACAGATTTTGGGGACAGGCTCATGAGATCATGGGGATGGGGGATATGAGTCTTTTCTCCTAAATCCTCAATTGACTGAATGAAGGCCCACCTACATAAGAGAAGGTGCTTTTAATATGATTTGATATCATATCAAATAATATTTGGATATGATCTGAGTGTGTCCCTCAATGGTTCATGTATAGGAAGCTTGGTCATCAATTTGGTGGTGTAAAAGTATTGGAACCTTTAAGAGGTGGGGCTTAGTGCAAGGTAATTAGGTCATTGCTGGTGCTCCCCTCAGAAGAGCTCAATATAGTTTTCATGGGACCCCAGTTAGTTCCTACAAGAGTGAGTTATTATAAAAGAATGAGCCTGACCCCTGATTCACTCTCTGGGTTCCTATCAGACCATGTAATTGCTCTCATATGTGCTCCAACATTCTGATGCCATCGCCATCCTCTCTTAGGCTCTCATCAGAGGCCCAAACAGTGGGACCACCTGATCTTGAACTTCCAGGCTCCAAAAACTGTAAGCTAAATAACCTTATATTTACAAAGTATCCAATTCCAGGTATTTTGTTATAGCAATGGAAAATGGACTAATTTCAGACTATAATTTGCTTTAAAGTCTACTGATTTAGATGTTAAACCCATCTCAAAAATACTTTACAGAAACATCTAGACTGGTATTCAATAAAACATGGTGCACCATGGCCTATATAGGTTGATGCATAAAACTGACCGAATCACCTCCCATCAAGGACAGCATCACCCATTCTAATTCCTGTGTTTCCACTTCCCAATGAAAGTCCTCTCTCTTTCTCTACTATGTTTCTCCATCTTTCCACTTTAGATCTACATTGTCCAACACAGTAGTTACTAGCTACATGTGGTCCTTTAAATTTAAATGTTAATTATTAACATTAAGTTAAATGAAAAATTCAGTTTTTCAGTTGTATTAGCCACATTCAGTTGCACAATAGCCACATGTGGCTAGTGGCTACCATATTCATAAGGCAGAATGGAACATTTCCATCATTCTAGAAAGTCCCATTAGATAGAGCTATACTAGATGGTTCTTCATCATATCTTGCTTAATCCTCTCATTCTAGGTTTCTGGTTTCTCTTATTATCTGTATAGTCACATAAATCCTCATTTGAGAATTCTGTGAAAAGATAATTTGATGTGTTTTCATACTCTCCATGGAATGCTTGTGTATGAGTCAGGATAAGCAATGCAAGCTGGTGAAACAAAACTCCAAAATACCAGTCGTTCAACACAACAGAGGTTTATTTCTTGCTCTAGTCACACTTACATCCTCTTTGCAGTCATCCACTCTTTTTTTTTTTTAATATTTATTTTTTAGTTATCGGCGGATACAACATCTTTGTTTTGTATGTGGTGCGGAGGATCGAACCCGGGCCGCACGCATGCCAGGCAAGCACGCTACCGCTTGAGCCACATCCCCAGCCCCTAGTCATCCACTCTTCTTCCAGTGCCTAGGAGTTCTCCATTGGATCCACTGCATCTAACCAGACAACTAATGAAAACTGGGGGGAAAAGATTGTGTGGGATATTTGGGGACTAGGCCTGAAAGTGTCTACATCATTTCTGCTCATATTTCATTGGCCGAACTTGATCATGTAGACCCACGTAACTGCTAGTGATAATGAAAAATATAGTTTTTCTGAGCTTCAAGGATAAAAATGAAACAGAATATTGAACACATAATGTTGTATCATAGTATGTAGAAAAATGCATTCTATGTTAATGTATATTATTCTCCAAACAATAAATCACCTATATGTAAAAACCTTAAGGATCACATAGTATATGTTTTACATATAATATGAAATTATTTGGATATGATTTGAATTTGTCCTCCAAGTTTTTATGTATTGAAAGTTCATCCCCACTGTGCAGCATTAGGAGGGTGGAAACAATCTGACTAAGATGTTTAGATATGAGACCTTTGGGAGGTGCTCAGTATTAGATAAAGTCATTAAGGTGGTACCCCTGTGGTTGAATCCTGGTGGCTTTATAAAAAGAAAGAGACCACAACAGAAACACTTTCACATATGTGCTCTTTGTCTCTTGCCAACTGATGCTGTGTGCTACTTTGGGACCCTGCCAGCAAGAAGGCCAACAGCAGCGGCCAAACCACAGGAGATATCTAAACTTTGAGCCTCCTCAACCATAGGCCAAAAGAAAACTCTTTCCTCTAAAACTTACCCAATCTGTGGTTCTTTGTTATTAGCAATAGATAACAGATTAATATATCATATAAAGAAATTAAAGGGCTGGGGATGTGGCTCAAGTGGTAGCATGCTTGCCTAGCATGCATGAGGCACGGGGTTCTATTCTCAGCACAACATAAAAATAAAATAAAGATATTGTGTCCACCTAAAACTAAAAAATAAATATTAAAAAAAGAAGTTAAAAATGTCAATTAATGAGTT